GGCTGGTTCATTTTCCAAGAACCAACCAAACATCTGGTAAATTATAGCGAATACAGAAAATAGAAAGAAAATGTGTCATACAAATGTTCTGTAATTGCTAATAATTAAAACTTAAGAAGTAAAAGTATTAAAATATTTTACACTCACCATCTCGATTTTCCCAGTATCCTTTCAAAATATGCCAACAATTAGTCAGCCGTACGAACGCATAAATAAAATCTTTAGTGGCCCATGGGATGCCCTGGGAATGAATATTTGAAATAGTAGTGCAAGGTTTTAATATTTCGGATCTGGTTCGGATGCACAAGTTTTGAATGTTACGAAAGCAAGGTCGGTTGCGATTTCTGTAAGCAATCTGTTCCGCAGTTAGGCAGCTCTTTTCCAAAAATTTGACGAAGTTTTCTTGAGTCGTTGGCTCAGCAGTACTCTAACATATTAAGGCAAACTTTATATGTTATCAATATTGGCATAGATTTCATTACCAGCAGTTCGTTCGCCGGAGGAGTAATTTGCCCAAAATCGTACCCTTCTGGAGGATCATTGATTCGATCAACTTCTGCAGTTCCGTCTTCCCTTTCTCTTCTGTCCTTAACAGCAGCTCCTGCATATACAAGATCGATGGTACTGGAACTAGAATTTGCCGGGCCATAAATCGACGTATTCGATCCGCTAACGTGCCCCATAGGAAGACCGTATTGATTGCCAAGATTGAACTGGGTATACTGATAGTGTTGTAAGTAGGGCCTGGCTACCGTTGAGGTGGGATGATAAGGCACTAGCGATGGTATCGGAGCCCTATAGCCTACCGTAGGGTAGTACGATGGGTATATACCTCCTTGGCAGTTACATACATGATGCATGTGTAAGTGGACATTTTGTTGCTGACTGTTCCCATTCTCTGAACGGTTTTGATCCATTAGTTTTCTTGTTAATTAATTATAGAATGCTAAAATGTGGAAAAGAATTAAGAGTATAACAGATATAGCGTTTTATCATTGACTTTCTTAATCGGTTACAGCTGTGTCATAAACAACATAATATTTTGTCCTATTAAACATTAAATTGGGCATACAAGTACATATTTGGAGAGGCAAGTTGCTATCAGCCACAAAAAAAAAATTAACCAGGTAATTTTGGATTGGTCCCTTAAAATAGGTCAACTTATACCAGAGATCAGCCTAATCTACTAATCTCTGCTTATACCATCATTACATGTGTAYAAAAATAAGCATGCAATCAAGGGCGAATCCAAGATCCCTCTTGTGCTGGRTTTATCTCGACTARCGATAATTTTTCTAATTTCATAGACAACAAAAGACTGCATTTCTACTACAYGAYCCACCCCCTGCCTTAAAAGCTGGGCCCGCATGAAAACTGCTCAAGGTATGATATAAAATTTCGCTTTCTGGGTCGAAACTACTCGAATTTCCTCGCTCATGTTATGGCTGAATYAAATTTTCAATTCTTTATGCAACGATACCAAAACGAATTCAAACGTGGCTCAAACGGGGCTTGAGAATCTTCGMAAAAAAGGCAGCGTCAWGTTTGAGTCGAGTTTGCAACTCAAAAAAAAGTACGCAAATGTAAAACTGTTTAAAATCATGKKTTTTTTGAGAAAACTGCAGMATTTCYTTATCRATGGTTCACTTTCTAAAAAGACCATTTAGTTCTCTCTGGAATKATGTAAAAATWRTCGTTCTTTTTTTTCTTTCGTWCTCTAATTTTTATTTCATATTTTTTATTAGGTATTAGCAACAAATTAAAATTATTCAGGCCTAAAAAGACAATTTGCTGCAAGCAGTTAGAARACAGCAATGTYTTARGACTAGTTTTACAATKAATGAATGATATACGGTCATATAAAAAGGTAAAAGACCGAAGAAACAGTAGTCGCGTCGCCCACATTTGAAGCGCTTATTGCCCTGAAAACAGGAGAGACTCTAAAAAACGATCTTTGAAAGTTTTTATGACGAAAGGGCGGTTTGACATTATAAAAATGCATTCAGTAAACTCAGTTTGAAGCAAAAAAACCGTTTCTTACTTCATTTGAACTAGTCCGTATTAAATACCACGCTCAACATACTTACTTAGTAGGAAATCGACAATGAAAATAAATTGAAATGAGCGAATGTTTGTCAAGGGGTGAATAATAAATGTAATAAATACTATTGGATAAGAATCCAATTATACTATTGGATAAGGTCGATAAAGATATCGATCTTAGTTTTAATAAAATCAACCCTAACAAAATAGTTCTGCTTACCTTGTATAAAATCGTATTGTCCTTACCTCAAGGGTTACACAAAAAAACGAAACGTTTAATCTAAATGATTGAAATACTACTGATTAGAGCATCACGAGTGTCGATTTTTAACTTAACATAGAGAAAGTGTTTTGGTAAAATTAGACTCAAAAACGACAGCTTTCCAACGTACACATTTGTTTTGTTTGATAATAAATATGGTTGCTTAGCGATACAACAATGGACATGCTACTCGGATTATTATCACCAGAATTGTGAAAAATTATTTCAAAATGGATTTAAAACTTTTTTATCTAACTATCAAGTAAAATATTTAAATGAACTTTATAAAAATAAAAAAAATAAATTGGGTGTCGGCGTAGATGTTAGAAGCGGTTTTTACAAAACTGGCACATTAATAATATTAGAAAAAATCTAAATAATGGGAAAAATCGAAGAGCTTATTTTTTTAGGCGTACCTACTCTATGTTCCATAAATATGTATCAGGCGCTTGATGAGTGAAAGCCATTATAACATAGACCAAAATTTAAATATTTATTAAAAATTGTATCCAAAGTGGAAGTTTTCAATTTGTCATATACAGTGGAGTTCGGATATAACGAACTTGAAAAATGAACTAAAACTTGATCGTTATGTCCAGAGTTTGCTATAAGCGAATAATAATATAAAAACACATGGAGTATTTTATTTCGTTATTTTTACATAGAGTAGTAGAAGTTAGTCGGTATAACTAAAAAGAACACAATTTGAAATCTACTTCACAAAGTCTGTAATTTTTGCTTGTACATTTCAAGATCACAAAATGACTCCCAAATATGTTGGAACTTGGCGTGATTGTAGAAAATTCCTAGTTTTCGACACTCTTTTTGTCATTTCAGAAATGGTTGGAACAGCATTAGTATCTACAGTAGAATCAGTTTCACCTAAATCGTCATCTTCTTCATTATCGCTTAAAGCTGTAGATGAGGTTACGGAGTCTATAATTTGCTCATCGATCAACATTTCTCTTGTAAGAATGTCATTATCAATGCTCACATATTCGAAGAAATGGAAATCACGCAGTTTGGTTTTAACTTGTTCTTCGACAAAATTGGGCACATCTTCATCTGAGTCATACTCGTAGTCAGAGTCTTTTCTAACCATTCATTAAGTGGATTTTTAAGTCTGGTTCATAATCATTGTCTTTTCTTACAAATCCACCATGCTTAAAGAAATTTGCAATGGTTTTTCGGCTAACTTTTTGCCAAGCTGTATGAATGAAATTGATTGCATCTAAGAGATTTACAGAAAATGTTTCATTTTTATCGACCGCCTCTAACATTTTCATAAGAGAAATTTTCCTATAATGACTTTAGGAAATGTATTACTCCTTGATCCATAGGTTGGAGCTTCGCACTTGTGTTCTACTAATATTATGTCTCTTCTTGAAACGCTCTACCCAACTTCTGGAACAAAC